CTGTATTTGTATGTGTCTGTTTGTGTTCGATTGTGCACGAAACTCGCAGTGATGGCTCAAAGTAATTAGGACGTCAAAAAGGAACGTGTATTTTTGGCCATCAAGGTTTGATGACGCCTATCTTCCTCTTTCTACAAACATGTTATAACCATCACTCATCTTCGTCTTTTAGTGGCACCGACTTTCGAATCTCTTCACGCAACACTTTCACTCGAAATGGAAGTAAGCTCAACAATTATGAAACAGGAGATTCTTGGAAACCCAAATTTTCTTCGCAAATAAATGTGGGACAAACTCCATTTTCATTCCCTAAATCAGTTTAAGTCACACATGCAAACTTCTGAACGTCTCTAGATCTACTTTTATCATAAAAATTACGACTTTTTGCGTTTAATCTTAACAAAAAATTAAGATTAAAGATGAAAAAATAAGTCAAAAATTACGAACCTACTAAAGGTGTGAAAGAAAGGTAGTCAAATAAATTGAGATGTAGGTCGAAATATATGTATATACATATACATAAGTGAATGGATAGATAGATTTAAAAGAGAATAAACAACAGCAACTAAGTGATATGTATTTGTAATTTGCCTTCCTGACGTGAGGGTGGATGCAACGCTAACAATACTCGTGCAATGGTACGATTGAAGCAAGTTGCATCCCATTTTCACGAAAATAGATCGAGGCTGCTCGTCAACCTGAAAGGGATTGCAACATGAAAAGAACTGCCGAATAACGAGACTTCTTCCTGCTTCGAGTTCTGGTGAGATGGAGCTCTAAAGCCCTTCAAAAGATGTACTTTCCAACGAAACGAAAGTGAGCCCAGCAGCACCTCGAACATGCGAGGGGGCAGCGACAAGATGTATCCGCGTCTTCCCACCTTCGAGTGCCTCAGTTGCATTTTTCCAAGTGAATGAATTGAGTCCGTCTCCAAGCCGAAAGAGTGCCCGGATTTCCGATCGCCTCTTCTCAACGCCGAAACGAAGTCATCTGAGACGATATTTCGAGTTCCGGTTGTCGAGCGTGCCTGTTCATCTTTGACGCACTGGATAAGATTCGGGAGGATGCGACGGCGCCGTCGCATCACCGAAGCATTTAGTGACTGTCGAAGAGCCCGTCCCCTTCACGACCGGTCAGAGGAGATGACGATGATGACGCTCGTCAAGGGACGGACGAAAGCCTAGCACCCTTTCACCGGAATCGAAGGAGATTGCCTCGGAAGCAGCGTCAGCATGAATGTTCCAGTAAAGCCAATCAAGAGGAATCGGACGTCGTCTTCTGGTGGAACCGACCTTCAAATCTCTTCACCCAACAAGAGATTCCTCAAAACCCAACTTTTCTTTGCATAAACTTGTCTAATGACCGGCTTTATGAGTAGCCAAAGAAATAATTGTGGTGGATGAATTAGCGAATGAATAGTCTGTTGAGT